AGATGTGCAGCACAGTGCATGCTGACCTGTAATAAATTTAAAAAAGCTTTTTTTAATTGAAAAATGTAAAACAAAAAATATAGCTTGCAATAGACTGGTTCTGATCAGTTTAAAGAAAAGCAGCAGGGAAAACTACAGAGAATTTACATTTTTAAGACAGATCTAATCATTATTAGGCTTAAGTTGAGTAAACAAATGCACATTGAAAACACTTCAATGCTGTTTTATTAAAAAGCCTGTTTTTTGAAAATGCTTTACCCTCATTTGATGCAAAATGTGTTCTAAGGTCCAATTTACATTGGAAAACATCCTACTGCATTCAACATTTATAATGCATTTGTCGTCGTCGTCGTCGTCTTCCTCCACTTATACGGGTCCGGGTCGTGGGGGCAGCATCCCAACTAGGGTGCTTCAGACCGTCCTCTTCTCGGCCACCTCCACCAGCTCCTCCGGCAGGACCCCAAGGCGTTCCCGAGCCAGATTGGAGATGTAACCTCTCCAACGTGTCCTGGGTCGACCCGGTGGCCTCCTGCCGGCAGGACATGCCCGAAACACCTCCTCGGGGAGGCGTCCAGGAGGCATGCTAACCAGATGCCCAAACCACCTCAACTGGCTCCTTTCCATCTGGAGGAGCAGCGGTTCTACTCTGAGTCCCTCCCGAATGTCCGAGCTCCTCACCCTATCTCTAAGGCCAGAGGTGGAAAGTAACGAATTACATTTACTCACGTTACTGTAATTGAGTAGCTTTTTTGTAAATTTATACTTTTTAAGTCGTTTTTAAAATCTGTACTTTTACTTTTACTTGAGTAAGTTTTTAAAAAAGAATTGTAATTCGCTACATTTTAAATCATATCCGTTACTGAGTAAAAATAAATTGTAGGCTTAATAAATTAAAAATATTACGTGTAGCAGCGTCGGAACAGAAAGAGACACCTGCATGAGCGCCACGTCTAAACCGGGGGGGGGGGGGGGGGGGGGGGGGGGGGTGCTACACGCTTTATGATGAGGACAAACAGCCATTTTTACCGCAGTTTTGCTCAAAAACAAAAGTTCTGTGATCAACTCGCTGTTTACCTCCTCTCTCCCTCCTCTCCTGTGGGTTGGAACCCGCACCTTCGCGAACCGGTGTGACATCAGAATTCTGCTCTGTTCAGCAACCAGACTCGGTTCCGTGTTTGAAATGTGTTTCCAAACCGCGCACGGAAGCGGCAAAATTACGTTTAGCGCTCCTAAGAAGCGGATTCTCAGCGCTCTGCTCATAAAACAGAAGACCTGCAGGCCTCTGTGAGTTAATCCTGATACTGTTCAGGTGTAAACATTGTGCTCCATCCCTGTGTTTGAACTCGGAAGATGCTCCTTGATGCCACAGATATGTGATGATTTAGCTTGTTTCTTTATTTTACTCCAGAATAAGAGATTAAATTATTACAAAAGCAGTTCAGTGTAGTTAAATTAGTCATTCCAATGATTCTAACACGCTGCAGTGTGTGTGTGTGTGTGTGTGTGTGTGTGTGTGTGTGTGTGTGTGTGTGTGTGTGTGTGTGTGTGTGTGTGTGTGTGTGTGTGTGTGTGTGTGTGTGTAGGACTGCATAAGACAGCATGGCTTCATCAAATCCATGCATCCTATATCTTGGCTGAAGTAATGGCTCAGGAAAATAACTTGTATTTAATAAACAATGATGTCTCTGCAGTGTTTATGATAATGTTTTATCTTATCTTGGACCTATTTTTGGTCTGGGAGGTGTAACTTATCATGATACAAGCTTTTAAAACATGTTAAAGTGTTACAAGAGGAGATAAATGCATGAATTTGAAGTTCATGTTTGGAGACCAACCTTCACAGTTTGGAGGCTCACGCCGGTGAGGAGACACCATTAGTTCTAGTAACACCTGGGCTCCCACGGCCTGTTCTGACAGGATGGACGTTACGGGACCCTTAAGGATTCCAGTTGGATGATTGGAGGATTATTTAGTAGGACTGGAATGAACAAACTGATTTCAGTGGTGAAGGCTCGGCATTAAAATTGTAGAAATGCAAAATAACTACACTTTATTATCTATATAAACATGTACTGGGTCCAGTTTTTTATTTTATTAAGGACTTTTGTCATAAATCATTACAGAAAATCCAAATTCTCTCCTCCAGACAGTGAAGAACTGTGTTTCGCATATGTCACTCCAGCACGTAAAACAAGCTAGCTGCTGATGCTAATATTGTGAATCACTGTTATTTGTTTACTTTGATGCTCCTAATTATTACATAAAATTGCGTTTACAACTGCAGCAAAAGGTCTGAGCCATGTGTCTGTGTCCTACACGCATTTTTAAATAACAGGTCTGATCTAAAATAATAACTTACATCTATAAATCCATCTAGAACTGCACCGCTACTTCTGGACTCCAGACGAGTCCCGTTAGCATGACTGCAGCAATACTAACCGTGTTCGCTCCGGTAAGGAAAGAACAAGTTCTTTGGGAAAGCTACGACACACACACGCACGTACGCACGCACGCACACACACACACACACACACACACACACACATACACACACACACACACACACACACACACACACACACACACACACACACACTTACACACACACAGAGATAGAATCTAAAAGATGATGTCTATATTTCAACATTAGAACCTCCATTACATCCTGGATTAGTGCAAACAACGAATTGAGCTAAGGAGTTACTCCAACATCAGGAAGATTTATTCTGGTAAATTGTAGGTTCATTATTTTCCAGAGTTATGTCAATAAATACACACAGCAGTAAAACTGTAGATTACTGAACTATATTGGGACACATGATGGAGCTAAGACCAGCTGAAAACTTGTCAGCTTAGAGCTCCCAGTGGAGCACAGAAATGAAATATTTAAGAAAAGTAAACAAACTGTACCGATTTTGGTTCTGAAGATGAACAGAACCCTCCTCTATGTCCAAATCAGGTAGCAGGTCTTCTGAGTCAAACGGTCTAAAACATGTCTGTACCTTTGGTAGTGATATCCAGCTGGCGGGGTCGAAGTTCGGTTGAACTTCTCCAGTAATCTAACATCCGTTCTCGTCGCCGTATCCCAGAGAAAAAAAACAAATCTGATGGACTAGTAGAGGCTTCAGAAGCTACATCTGATTGATGACACATTGTTCTCTGTTATAACGCTAACGAAGAAACAGCGGAGTCAGGCGTTGTTTACTACAGCTGTTTCAGCAGAGCTCCATGTGAAACGTCAACTGCTGCCCAGGGCTTAGACCGGAAGTTGGTTTCTGTTTTTCCTGAGCCAGTCACAAACATCAGATTTTCTTACAATTCCAGCCGTCAAAATCCAAAACCCTTTTTCATCTGAGATTTTAATACACATTTACACATGCTGTTCAAACAAATTTTGCCTCTGGCCGATATCTATAAATGAGTGAGTGAACCCACTACCAAAGATGAACTCTGCTAACTTTAAAAATCAGCTGCTCTAAATAAGCATTCAGGGAAAAGTCATGGGCCTGTGACTATAACCTAATTTATGTTACTAGTTTGCAGTGTAACTGCCTTTGTGATGCCTCAAAAGGCATTTATGTCATTTATATTGTATGTTTCATTTAAAGTTATCCATTTATATGCTTTTAAGTTACAAAGAACAGTGAAGAGGTTAAAAATGTTAAATGGGAAGATTTTATTTTGAAGGTGAACTTATTAATGACCTCACTTCCTGCTGGGTTACATGCATTGGTTGATTTCCTGTTTACTTCCTCTTCTTGGCTGCTCTGAGAGTGAGAGTGTCATGCGGTCATGCTCTGAGGCTTATCCACAGCCATCCACTTGGGAATATTGTTCAGGCAACGCCGTAAGTGTTTAAACTCCATGATGAAGATGTTAAAAAAGCATAAATGGCTGTAGTTGTTAAAAAACAGAACTATTTTATTTGTATTTCACAATGATTGATTTGTACATGTTAAAAGAGGTATTTGTTTGATGGTCATTTTCTTTGCTCAGGCTAATACAATTATGTAAAGTCATATTTTGAGTTAGTTTGTGAGGCAATATTTATGTAAACATGATCATTTATTCTATTCTGTATTTCTTTTCAATTACAGTTTTCACCGCTTGTCAAATGAAGGTTCTAAGAGTAAAAAGTCAACTCTACTCTGACTCCTGTATTGTTTGACAAAGGTTTAGCTTGGTGTTTACTCAGAGTTGCTACACTCTGCAACAGGACACTACAGTGAAAAGGCGCACTCAATGTTTCTACGTGGTCGAGATGGCAGCCAGCAACAAGTCATCGGTATCAAATACCAGGAGCAACGTGACATCAGCATCATCAGTGAGTGCAGCCCGTGCCAGAGCTAAAGCAGAAGCTGCTAAGGTACGAGCATCGTATGCTAGTCAGGAGGCTAAATTAAAGCTGGAAAAGGTTGCTAGAGAAGCAGAACGGCTAACTAGAGAAGCTCAAAATCAGTTGGAAGCCACTAGAATTGATACAGAGCTGGAAGTGCTGACATTAAATCGTGAAGCAGACGCAGCTGTCGCTGAAGCACAAGTGTTGGAAGATGTAGCAGAAATGCATGGAAATGTGGAAAATGTGAAATCCGAGTCAGAAGAGAGGCTTAGATTGCAACGCATCAGTGACTATGTTCACTCTCAAGATCACAACCAGTCTCCCTTTGAACCGGTATCTGTCCAACCTGAATCGCAAAACAGTTTCAGAACATGGCTTCCACCTGCAAGCTTAGCAGAATTCCAGTATAGCAAGAGCAAGCCTAATCCTGAAATGGGTGATGGGACACATCCACCTTCAAAAAACCTGTCTAAACTGACCAGAGCTGAGTCAAAGACTGAAATCGAAAGGACAGACCCTCGCACATATACAGGTGCTCAGTCACAAACACCCAGGAAAATGCTTCCAGTGAACGTGTCACAACCACCAGACCCGCTGGCACAGTATATGGCGCGACGTGATCTTGTTGCCTCAGGACTGTACCAATTTGACGATAAGCCAGAGAATTATCATGCATGGCGGTCCTCATTCATTAATGCTGTGGCTGAAGTTCAACTTACAGAAACACAAGAATTAGACCTCATGACCAAATGGTTAGGGAAAGAGTCTGGCCAACAAATAAGGTGCATACGTTCAGTGTACGTGAACAATGCAAGTTTGTCTCTCCACAAGGCATGGGAGAGGTTGAATGACTGCTATGGTGCCCCTGAGATAATTGAGCAGTCATTGTTCCAGAGACTCGACAGTTTTCCTAAAATTAGGGCCAAGGATCACGTCAGATTACGTGAACTTGGAGATTTGCTCACGGAGATACAAGGCGCCAAGGAGGATGGATTTCTCACCGGGCTGACGTATCTAGACACCTCAAGAGGTATTGGACCCATAGTAGACAAGCTTCCATATGGGCTCCAAGAGAAGTGGGTGTCATCTGGGTCGGATTTCAAAGAGGAGAACAACGGTCGCTTCCCTCCATTTAGTTACTTTTGTGACTTTGTGTGTCATGAGGCAAAGAAACGAAATGACCCTAGCTTTATTCGGCAAGGCAACGATGCAAACTCCACGAAACCCGAAAGATTACCAGTAAAGAGCTTTAACACCACCAAGTCTATCACAGTCCACAAAACAGATGTTTCTACATTCAACAACGACCCTAGTCAGAACTGCCCGTTGCACAATAAACCTCATCCGCTTAAAAAATGTAGGACATTTAGAAACAAGCCCATTGAGGATAGGAAGGCCTTTCTAAAACAGAAAGGAGTATGCTTCAAGTGTTGTTCTTCAACTTCACATGTTGCTAAAGACTGCAACTCTTCCGTGAAATGCTTAGTTTGTGAAAGTATCCATCATGATACAGCCATGCACCCTGGCTCACAACCTCAATTTACTAAAGCTCCTCCACCGCCACAAGAGAACGGCGGGGAGAGAGAAGATCATTCTGGTGTGGCCGATGTTACAACCAGCTGTACAGAGGTTTGTGGCCCTGGCCAGTGGGGTCGTTCTTGTTCTAAGATCTGCCTTGCAAAGGTCTACCCCAAACGTTCAAAACAGAAAGCAATTAAAGCTTATGTAATCCTGGATGACCAGAGCAATCGCTCTTTAGCCAGGCCAGAGTTCTTTGAGCTGTTTGGTGTTGAGAACAAACCACTCTTATACCATCTCAGAACATGCTCCGGCATCATCGAAACTTACGGCAGGAAGGCAGAAGGGTTCCAGATAGAGTCATTGGATTGCAAAGTTCTCATACCTCTTCCAGCACTCCTCGAGTGTTCTGAAATCCCAACACCAGGTGCAGCTTTGCATCAGCCACATCTCCACCATATAGCCAAGTACATTCCCGATATGGACCCAGAAGCAGAGATACTCCTGCTCCTCGTATGAGACGTGCTCAGAGCACACAAGGTCAGGCAGCAAGTTAATGGGCCACATAACGCTCCCTTTGCACAACGTCTCGATCTGGGCTGGGTGGTGATAGGGGAGGTGTGTCTAGGTAACGTGCATAAGCCAACGGTTGTCACATTCAAGACCCATGTGCTAGACAGTGGTCGCCATTCCATATTTCAGCCCTGTGCGAGTGTCATGCATGTCAAAGAAACACAACCAAGCTTCAGCAAGCCCAACAAAACACCAGAGAGGTTGCTAGGGCACACAGTGTTTAACCAAACTGAACATGATAACAAACCTGCCCCATCAATAGAAGATATTCTCTTCCTAGAGATCATGGACAGAAATGTCTACAGAGATGACACCGGCAGTTGGGTGGCTCCATTGCCATTCAAGGAGCCACGGCGACGTTTGCCGAATAATAAAGAACATGCGGTTAAGAGGTTTGAATCCTTGCAATGCCAATTCAGGAGGAAACCTGAGATGCAGAAACAATATGTGGCATTCATGGAGAGGATCATTGCCAATGGTCATGCAGAGGTGGCACCACCTTTGAGGGAAGATGAAGAGAGCTGGTTTCTTCCATCATTTGGGGTATACCACCCACAAAAGCCCAACCAAATCAGGGTGGTTTTCGATTCCAGCGCTCAGTACTGTGGGGTCTCACTCAACGATGTGCTTCTGACTGGACCCGACCTCAACAATTCTCTCTTGGGTGTCCTTCTACGCTTCCGAAAAGAGAGAGTAGCAATCCTCGCTGACATTCAACAAATGTTTCACTGTTTTCTGGTTCATGGAAATCACCGCAACTTCCTCCGGTTTTTGTGGCATGAGGACAACGACCCCAAAAAGGCAGTTATCGACTACCGAATGAAGGTCCACGTTTTCGGCAACTCACCATCCCCAGCTGTGGCTATCTATGGTCTGCGAAGAGCCATTGCCGAAGGTGCAGAGAAGTATGGTACTGACACGGTGAAGTTTGTGGAAAGGCACTTTTATGTTGATGATGGCTTGGTGTCTCTCCCATCTGAAGTGGAAGCTATCAACCTTCTCCAACGAACTCAGGCTTCACTTGCTGAATCAAACCTGCGCTTGCACAAGTTTGTGTCAAACGGTCCAGCAGTCACTGGAGCTTTCCCACCAGAAGATTGTGTCCCACTCATCAAAGATCTGGATTTGAGTGGCGAGACACCACCTATGCAGCGCAGCTTGGGCTTGCTGTGGGAGATTGGATTAGATACATTCACATTCTCTGCATCAACTATTATCAAACCTTTCACCCGACGTGGTGTCCTCTCCACTGTCAACAGTGTTTTTGATCCTATGGGTATGTTGGCACCTGTCACAATCGAGGGACGAGCCCTTCTTAGGGAACTTACTTCGGAGTTGAACGACTGGGATATACCTCTCCCAGAAGACAAGCTGAAGAAATGGGAAACCTGGAGAGATTCTCTTCAAGTCCTGAAGGAGCTTCATGTGCCACGTGCATATGCATCAGCCTCACTCACCAAAGCTGTGCACACAGAGTTGTGTGTATTCTCGGATGCCTCGAACATGGCCATTGGGGCCATCGCCTACTTGAGAGCCAGTCAGGAGGATGGCAAAGTGGAGGTAGGATTTGTTATGGGCAAAGCCAAATTAGCACCCCAGTCTGAACCCACCATCCCGAGACTCGAACTCTGCGCTGCTGTCCTTGCAGTAGAAATGGCGGATCTTATCCGAGAGGAGCTGGATCTGAAATTGGATGCTGTCAGGTTCTACACGGACAGTAAGGTTGTGCTGGGGTACATTTATAATACAACAAAACGCTTCTACACGTATGTCCACAACAGAGTTCAACGTATCCGGCAGTCTTCCAGACCAGAACAATGGCATTATGTACGCACGGACGAAAACCCTGCAGACCATGCATCCAGATCTTTACCTGCATCCCATCTTGCACAAAGTTCGTGGTTCACTGGACCTTCATTCCTGCATCAGTTATCTGCAGAAACAGCACAAACTGGTGAGAAGTTTGAGCTCATTGACCCAGGCAATGACTCAGAGATTCGACCACAGGTACACACCTACACTACTCAGCTGGAGGAACCTGTACTTAACCCTGACCGTTTTCATCGTTTCTCAACCTTTACATCTCTATTGCGAGCAGTGGCATTTCTAATCCATATGGCAAGATCTCACAAACAGTCAAACCAGAACAACAGGTGTACAGGATGGCATATGTGTCACTTACTTCGTAATGTGGATGAAATAGCTCAAGCAAAATGTGTCATTTTGCAAGCAGCATAAAGGCCGGCCTTTGCCAAGGAACTGTCAGCTCTCCAAGTAAACAAAGCGGTGCCCACAAACAGCCCTTTGCATAAACTCAGTCCAACTTTGGAGAGTAACCTCATTTGTGTTGGAGGCAGACTGAAACATTCTCAACTGACATGTGAAGAAAAGAACCCAGTAATCCTTCCCAAAGACAGTCACATTTCCTTACTGCTTGTGCGACATCACCATGAGCAAGTGAGACATCAGGGTCGACATCTCACTGAGGGTGCAGTAAGGGCAGCTGGACTGTGGATTTTGGGTGGTAAGCGACTAATCAATTCAGTCCTCCACAAATGCGTAATGTGCCGGAGGCTGCGTGGGAGACTGGAAGAACAACGCATGGCTGACTTACCGCCGGAACGTCTCAAAGTTTGCCCTCCATTCACATATGTTGGGCTAGACGTCTTTGGACCTTGGTCTGTTGTAACCAGACGCACCAGAGGAGGACAGGCAGAAAGCAAACGGTGGGCCATGATGTTTAGTTGTTTGAGTTCAAGGGCTGTCCACATTGAGTTGATTGAGTCTATGGACGCATCCAGCTGTATAAACGCTCTTAGACGTTTCTTTGCTCTCAGGGGCCCTGCAATGCAACTCTATTCTGATTGCGGGACCACCTTCATTGGAGCTAGCAAGGAGCTGGAGATGGACAATACTGTACAGAGGTACCTTGGCAAGCAAGGATGTACCTGGAACTTCGGACCTCCACATGCTTCCCACATGGGAGGGTCATGGGAACGGATGATAGGTGTTGCTAGGAGGATCCTTGATTCAATGCTTTTGCAGCAGAAGAGTCACCTAACTCACGAAGTACTGTCAACGCTAATGGCAGAAATCACAGCCATCATCAATGCACGTCCACTCCTACCTGTGTCTACGGACCCACACCAACCTTTTATTCTTTCACCGGCTATGCTCCTCACACAAAAATCAGGAGTTCCACCTCCTCCTGGAGATTTCATTGACAAGGACCTCTTCACGAAACAATGGAGGCAAGTTCAAGCGCTCGCTAACTAGTTTTGGGCCCGTTGGAGCCGAGAATACTTACCATCTCTACAGCAAAGACAAAAATGGACAGTGCCACGCAGAAACCTTCAAGTTGGGGATTTGGTTCTCCTCAGAGACAAACAGACTGTCCGCAACTGCTGGCCCTTGGCTGTGGTTAGGGCAACCTTTCCTGGGAAGGATGGACATGTGAGGAAGGTTGAGCTCAAAACAGCCGACCAAGGTGATGCTAGAACTTTCTTGAGGCCAGTTGCGGAAGTGGTTATACTTCTGCCTAAGGACTAATTTAAGGACAGTCATTTGTACCCATTCACATTCACAGTGACCTCACATAGGCCAGGCGGGGAGTGTGACGCCTCAAAAGGCATTTATGTCATTTATATTGTATGTTTCATTTAAAGTTATCCATTTATATGCTTTTAAGTTACAAAGAACAGTGAAGAGGTTAAAAATGTTAAATGGGAAGATTTTATTTTGAAGGTGAACTTATTAATGACCTCACTTCCTGCTGGGTTACATGCATTGGTTGATTTCCTGTTTACTTCCTCTTCTTGGCTGCTCTGAGAGTGAGAGTGTCATGCGGTCATGCTCTGAGGCTTATCCACAGCCATCCACTTGGGAATATTGTTCAGGCAACGCCGTAAGTGTTTAAACTCCATGATGAAGATGTTAAAAAAGCATAAATGGCTGTAGTTGTTAAAAAACAGAACTATTTTATTTGTATTTCACAATGATTGACTTGTACATGTTAAAAGAGGTATTTGTTTGATGGTCATTTTCTTTGCTCAGGCTAATACAATTATGTAAAGTCATATTTTGAGTTAGTTTGTGAGGCAATATTTATGTAAACATGATCATTTATTCTATTCTGTATTTCTTTTCAATTACAGTTTTCACCGCTTGTCAAATGAAGGTTCTAAGAGTAAAAAGTCAACTCTACTCTGACTCCTGTATTGTTTGACAAAGGTTTAGCTTGGTGTTTACTCAGAGTTGCTACACTCTGCAACAGGACACTACAGCCTTTGTACTTCAATATGCACATTTGTTCATTTAATTAAAAAAACGGCCACTTTGACATTTATACCCCATTGTCTTTTTAACTATTCAGAAGAGCCTGTCCTTGCACAGTCAAAAAAGTAACTAAGTAACTTTTACTCTGACTACATTTGAAATAAGCTACTTTTTACTTTTACTTGAGTACATTTTGAGCCAGGTAATTAGGCCCGAGCAGCGAAAGCGCTGCGAAGGCCTCTTGTTTTTGTTGCTCTGTTTATTCTTTTTTATTTATTATTCTTAGCCCGCTTTGAATGGCCTTTTGGGGACCTTATCATACCCCAAAACTCACAATATTTTGCAGACTTGTCAAGCCTGGTGAAAAATTTGGTATTTTAAAGGTCCCAAAAAAATCGCAAAGAAAATGACTGAACAGCGCCCCCTACAAAGTGAAAAAAAAAAACCCTCTCCATAAAGCTTAGTTTATCGTACAGTTATGAAATTTGGTACACTTGTAGTACTCAACAGGCCGCACAGAAAAGTCTCTTGCAAGAATGGTCAATATCAAACAGGAAGTCGGCCATTTTGGGTTGAAATGGCGATTTTTGGCCGTTTTGGCCGTTTTTAGGGTCCGTTTCTGATTGGATTGCTCGATCATTTTTCGCACGATCATCTCAAAAATAGTGTAAAATTGCTCAGAAGGGATGGGCGAACAAAATGAGACAAGGATTCTGACTTTTCGTATATGTTGAAGGGGCGGGGCCAGGCCTCGAAGTTTGACTACTCGCCAAAAAAATATAAATTGCTATAACTTCATAACTGAATGTAACAGAGTTACAAAAATTGCTGTGGTCATTTGACATCCCCCCACAAAGTAAACTGAAGCGTCGGTTGGTGACATCACACAAGCCCCGCGCCCTCAGGACTTAAAAGGTCAAGTTTTACTGTGAAAGGTCCCAAATTGCCCCATTTCACTTAATCACCACAACTTTGTAGCTGGTAACTCAAGACAAGTGGGGGTTGCTTGGGGTCACTTTATGGGAGTTTTCGGCAGAGGATGGGGCTGTGGCGGCGCGGCGAAGTCAGGCGTACCGCCGTGGCCTTACGTTTGCCTCCCATTTCGTCATTTCTAAAGTTATCGTCACGAAACTTCTTGTGAGTGATCCTAGACCAGCCTTGCAAAAAATCTGATGTGAAAATACGGTGGGTGTGGCCTAGTTTCTGAAATAGCGCCCCCTAGGACCATTAAAACTGTCAGCCCCAAGCCATGCTTTGACTGAGGAGTACGAAATTTGGTAGACTAATGTGGTGTCTCAGGACCTACAAAAAAGTCTCTTGGAGCCAAGTGCAAAGTCGCACAGGATGTCGGCCATTTTGGTCCAAGTACTCGATTTAGTGGTTTTCGCACACGTTGTTTGGAGAGTGATGCTCCGTCGCCCTTTTCACCAATCTCCTTCAAACTTCCGCTCTATACTCTTAAGTCATAGGGGAAAAAATTCAACCGGCGGATTTTTCAAAAGTTGAAAGGTGTGGGCGTGGCTAAGCCTCAAACTTTGACCTGTCGCCACACCACTCTTTTTTTCCACAGCTCCCTACTGGACTCCTTTTACCCAATCACCAGGATTCTGTGGCAAACAGCAGTAGACAACATGAGGTTACTTGGTCTCCAGTACTGGCAGGTTTCGAAAAAAGGCGGGGCTTTGGGAGCATGGCGAAAATCGCCATCACGCCATGGAAATACGTTTGCCTCTCCTTTCTTCAGTTATCGTGATATCGCTACGAAACTTCTGGTGAGTGATACTAGTCTGACCCCCAAGAGAAATAGACAGCTGAAGTTTGTGGACGTGGCCTATTCTCTTAAATAGCGCCCCCTAGGCCCATTTAAACTAATAGCCCCAAGCCATGCTTTGACTGAGGATTACGAAATTTGGTACACTAATGTGGTGTCTCAGGACCTACAAAAAAGTCTCTTGGAGCCAAGTGCAAAGTTGCACAGGAAGTCGGCCATTTTCGTCCAAGTACGCGATTTAGTGGTTTTTGCACACGTTGTTTGGAGAGTGATGCTCCGTCGCCCTTTTCACCGATCGCCTTCAAACTCCAGCTATTTACTCTTAAGACACAGGGGAAAAAATTCAACCGTCGGATTTTTCAAAAGTTGAAAGGTGTGGGCGTGGCTAAGCCTCAAACTTTGACCTTTCGCCACGCCACTCTTATTTTCACAGCTCCCTACTGGACTCCCTTTACCCAATAACCAGGAATCTCTGGCAAATAGCAGTAGACAACTTGAGATCAATTGGTGTCCAGTACTGGCAGGTTTCGAAAAAAGGCGGGGCTTTGGGGTTATGGCGAAAATCGCCATCACACCATGGAAACACGTTTGCCTCTCATTTCTTCAGTTATCGTGACATTGCTACTAAACTTCTGGTGAGTGATCGAAGTCTGACCCCCAAGAGAAATAGACAGCTGAAATTTGTGGGCGTGGCCTATTTTCTTAAATAGCGCCCCCTAGAACCATTTGAACTGTCAGCCCCAAGCCATGCTTTGACTGAGGATTACGAAATTTGGTACACTAATGTGGTGTCTCAGGACCTACAAAAAAGTCTCTTGGAGCCAAGCGCAAAGTCGCACAGGAAGTCTGCCATTTTGGTCCAAGTACTCGATTTAGTGGTTGTTTGGAGAGTGATGCTCCATCGTCCTTTTCACCAATCTCCTTCAAACTTCTGCTATATACTCTTAAGACATAGAGGAACAAATTCAACCGTCGGATTTTTCAAAAGTTGAAAGGTGTGGGCGTGGCTAAGCCTCAAACTTTAACCTGTCACCATTACATTACTTGACTTAATAACTCCCAAGTGCATGATCAGATCTATTTCAAACTTTGTCTGTGTGATCACTGACCACATCTCAAGACAACGACAATGTGGACAGCTGACATCACCTAAGCCCTGCCCCCTGACAACAGGAAGTCTGTTGTTTTATGGTGAAATGCCCATATTTGTCCCCTCTAATTTAGTGAACATGACACTAAGGTCATACACTGTCTTCATGATGTTGTAATGACCATTCAGATCTGATAGCTTTCCAGAAAGGGAGAGGCTTTGATGCTATGGTGAATGCTGGCGTGACGCCATGACCTTACATTTGACTGTAACTTCCACAAACGGCCTCCGATTTCCCCGAAATTGAACATGGCGATGAACAATCATGCCCTTTAGCCAAGGAGGCACAAACGGTTGGTGAATGTTGTATAATGTCACCAACGCTGACCTCAATGGGACTTTTCTGTAGTTGGTCACAGCGCCCCCATGATAACGTTATCCTTCGATAACTTTAAAAAACATGGTCAGAATAGCATTAAAGTTGGTCACTGTCATCACACCACCAGTGTGGTAAAGATAGAGGATTCCCTAGTGGTGAGACATAAAATATAATGGTGAGCTCATAGGGGATGCTGAGTCAGGGTGAGGTGCGGACGAGGTGACCGTTAGCAGTTTCTGGTGTCAGGGTGGTCAACGTTTCTGTTTCGCAGACGTAGCCTGGTGCCCCGGGCTGCCGGCCAGGCCGGAGCGGCGCGGAGCTGCGAGGGCCGAACGACGCTGCTTGCAGCTTTAATTTTACTTGTAATTGAGTAAAATTTCATGAAAGTAATTATACTTGTACTTAAGTACAACATTT